GGTTTAGGGCTTTAGGGTTTAGGCGTCTCCTGTGTTGGGTTACAGGGCGGTTTTTGAGACTATGATTACTTTCAGGGTCTTGCATGACTATGTTTAGGGCATGTTTAGGGCCACAGGATGCCCCAGGCACGGAGACATGTAGCCTCTGCAAGGCCAGGTAGAAGGGGTGCGAAGGCAAGCCCGGCTTTTGAACACCAGTGATTAGTGGCCCTTTCCTGGAAACACCCTATGACATATGATACCGAACATGCTGTACTATGGGACTTCGCAGGGTACCGTAGTTGAGGACAGCAGTCGTCCAGCAACTATGAGGGTGCTGAGTCTGCAAGTTTCGTGTATTGAGCAGTCAGGATGTACCTCCCCCCCCCCCCCAAGTTTCTTCTGCGTCTCTTGCATGGCAAAAATGCCAGGGCACACATTGGCACATTTATAAGGTGTAGGTTATGGCTTGGGCTTACTATACTACAGTAGGGCTTGAGGAAATGTGGAACGCCGATTTGCTCTGCGGGCTCCTTCGGCGGGTTTCGCCTGGCGTTAGCCAACGGCTTTCGGCACTCTCGCGCACTCTGGGCGAGGCACGTATCACGTGACGGTCTGGTAGGCTTGCTGACGGACATCATGACCCTCGTTTGATTATCCGCAACATAAGGATGCACAAGTTGCAAAAAGCCGGGATTAAAGCTTATAAGGAGGCCCGGAGCAAGTCAGCATCCTTTCAGCGCCACCAAAGGACAAGTACCGAACCAAGCAGAACTCATGATCTGGGAAAGATCTTTGGGCTTCCGGGTCCCTGGTCCAAGCGATTCAACCAAAACCATCCAAGACCTAGATCCAGCAAACAGCGCTTGCAAAGAAACACAGCGCCGCCAGCAGTCGAGAGTTCAGGGCTTAGGGGTGTGCAGCTTGTCACCGGTTTAGGATGCCATGCGACTGCGACTTGGTTTGGAACAAAAAATCGTCTTTGTCGTGACTTGGGCTCATCCATCGCCGAGCAACAGGAGGAGCAGGCAGCTAAGTGGATGAGCGCGTCGTTTGGATATGGCGGTCGCCATCATTTTTGTCATGAACTCTGCTGGAGCCCTACGTCTTTGAGCCTTTGGGAGCCTGCTCTGTGCACGATATCAGGCCCAGCTTCGCCACCTGATGTGCTATCGTCCAGGCTGGAACTCTCATGGGTCGTGTATGCTCCTCGCAAATAAGCTCTTTACAAAGAGATCCCAAGGTATGAACCCTTGCCCTCGTAGCTATACATGCGATGTGCCGTGTCATTGGTTGGCCTTTTATCTGAGAGCCAAAACAGCCAACGTGCTCAATCGCCAAGGGTCTATGTCTTTTCTGGGTCGTGGGAATATAACATTCTGATAATATCAATTACTAGTTATTATAGGGATGCAGCAAGCTTTAAGGAAGCCTACGGCTATCAGCCAGCGACATGTGTTCATTGAGCATTTGACCATGACAGTCTAGCCAAGTGTACTGCAAGAAAGGCAGGATGGGGCTGGCGAGGGCCCAGTTGTACCCAGTGCCTGGGTGGCCCCGGTCAGGATCTGAATTCGACGGTATTGTAGCCCGTATGATCTCGAACATGAGGTTTTAAGACCTGCCTCAAAAGACCCTCTATGTCGCCAGAAACCTTCCAGTGGCAATGCAATGCTAAGAACTCGAAAACTCTACACTTGTTCAGTCTGCTGTGCCTACAGCAGTCCGGCAAGCTCCCAGCAGACGTCTCCTCGCCGTAGGAAATCAGCACCTCCTGAATGCTCTCAGGGCGCAGCCGGTTTTTCGGAGGGTTTCGGGGCAGATTTTAGTGTTTAGATGTGTAAAGGCATGCTTTCTCCGGGGGTAACATAAAAGACATTCTTTCATGTCCGTCACACTCACCAGGGCAAAGAGACGTAACTCCACGATTTTCCACGCGGTAGCTGAGACCTCCCGGACTTCATACCAAATGGGGGTTTCCGAAAATAGGGGACCCTAATATAGTACCCTAAATAGTAGGATCCCTATTATAAGGACCCCCCAAATGAAGTACCCCTTGTTTTCGGAAACTCCCAAATCTCTTTGCTCATTCAGAGGTTACGTAGGTTGCCCAAGAACCGCTTTCAGCTCTTGGGAACTGGAAACACGCAGTCTCTGCTGTGTGAAGGAAAAGCTCTCCGCCTCTGCCGGCGTAGGCGGTGCAGAGTTGGAGATGGCTGTCGGTGTGTAAAAAGGAATGCCTTTGACATCCTTGGTGTCACCGGCAGCCAAGCCAAGGCCCACATCCAAACACAATTTAAAGAGAGCGCAGGGTGCTGCCGCGAGCCCTTGCGAGATTTGTTGCCTCATGTCTTTTCTACAGCTTGTGAAGGACATGTTTCAGGGCTCCCGGTTCCGGCTTCAGCCACCTTGAAATGAAGCGTCGACGACCTGCTCTTCCCTCCTATGAAGGTCTCGAATGCAGGCACTTCACGACTTGAAAAACAAAAACCCTCAGCATGGCTACCCAGAGCTTGCTGATCGGCACTGGTCCTGCAGCTTATTCGCGAACTGGGCATCATGCCTGCCTGGTGCCTACAGCTCTTGCCGAACCAACCATTACAAGAATGAGCTGCAGTGGTGCCGGGCTTCTGCTTCTTTGAAAACGAATAATTAGTCTTACAGGGGCCAGAGAACTTTACGATCTCTGAGCCTGCATGAGAAACCTTTGTGATCTCCCCCACTTGTAAAACGCTGTGAGCCGATTTTCCTGACCCTTGTCAAGGCGGATGAGCAGATCCCGAGTCTTAAATCACGTGGGGCAGAATAACTTATTATAAAGCACCCGAAATCATCCGGTTCGACAAGACAGACGCCCACACAGCTTGTACAAACAAATCATCCAATCTAGATAGATGGCCCTCCGACCATACTTCTTAGAATTGAGATGGTGCATCCGCTTAGGTGAAGCCACTATAGGCCATCTAATCCTTACCGAGGGGGCTAAAGACTGGGACGGAATTGGCGAGATCAAACTGAAAATAAGGTATATAAGGTCACATTATAATGTACTAAACCGTACTAAATTAATGAATTGTGTACTCAGAACTATGTCAGACCTCATCCGCCAGAGTCCCTCTCTTAGCACCTTGCTTCTCCTTGTTGCAGGACTGGGCCCGGCTGCGGTCTTTAGCCCACTGGCAGTATGCGATGGTGCAGCAGCAACATACCAGGCACACTGCTACACCTGGGGTGTTGTTTGGGGCCCTGAACAAATATTTATGAATACGTGTCTCTATAGGGACAACAATATTTATGAATAGGTGCCTCATAGGGACACTATAGAGGAACCATAAAGGGACATGAACAAGCTTCCCAAAGTGCCACCTAGACACTTATGTAGATTGCAGATGTCCAGGGAAACGACTCAGGTGCTTCAACATCCTCCATGCCATAGAGCGGGATGGCAACTTGGATTTGCGATATCACCTGCGTCATGGCATCTTCAACCCTCCAAGTGTCTTCACTGGTGACCGACCTCGCCTGGCTCTTCAAAGACACCCATGCCTGGTTTATCTGCTCCCACTGTTCCAGGATGTCCTTACGCTCCGCGATCACGGGATCCAAACCTCCCCCACCATCCTTAAGATGTTGATGGGATGTCTCAAACTCGCTAATGGCAGACGACAGTTCGGCATCCGACTTCCTGAAGCCGTAGACGTGCAGTAAAGCTTCTTTGTGAACTCTACTTGCAAGGGCTGCTTGAGACATCAGTACATCCACCCTGGCGCCTGGCCACATCGGATCAGATTCCCGAGCACCTTCGAGGTACTTGGCCTGGAGCACCTCCGCTACGCCGAGCAAGCTCGCGCCTGCAGCCTCGACATTGAGCACGTCCGTTCCCGACAAAGCCTGCACGAACCTTTCCATTGCAGGTTCGACTGTGGACATCACATGCTCCAAGAGCGCTTGCGTGGGCGGTGCTGCCACATGGGGTTGCCAAGACCCGAACATGAGCCGGTGGAAGGATGCCTTCACATCTTCGGCTGCAGTGCTCAGCGAACTGAAGCTGCCACCACCTTCCTCCTGAGCGATGACGAAAGCAGCGGTGGCATCCTGGCTTAGGCGCGACAAATCCGCGGCCTCCTGATGCAGCTCCAACCATGCCAACAGCGGTGCCGCCACCTCCGTCGTCCTGTTCTCGCACACTCCAGACACCAGCACCTTGGAAGCAGCGGACATGGCGTCGAGGGCATGCCCGTCAAACTGGCTCAGCTCCGACATAGCCTCGAAGCTGCCATGAGCGACAGCAAGAGCAGACTCCTGGAGTTGCTGGTAGAAGTCGTCGACCTCACGCATGCGCTGAATGATGCAAAGCTGGGAGAGCTGTTGCAAAGCTGGGGTGGCATTCTGGGCAGGAGCTCCCAGCAAAAGCTTCTTGTGTGCTGCCACGAACGCATCACGTGTTGCATTCAGTGCCATCCAATTCGCATCAACTTGTACACCATAATGCGCGAGGCTTGCCTCCTTGGACATCTTGAACAAGCGCATCGCCTGCTTGCTCGTGAGATCCATCAGGTAGGCGGGCGTGGCTGGGCTGGCTCCCCAGGCTTCCTGCACTGTCATCTCCATGACCGTCGAGAGCTGGTCGAGGACATCAGCACTGAGCAGTGCAACCCTGTCTACCATGATCGCCGTGACGGCCTCGGCATGAACTGCCTGTGTCAACTCTGTCTCAAGCACACTCCACGTCTCGGCTGCGATCAACATCTGATCCAGCACGCCCTGTGTTGGAGGGGCAGGAATCCCCTCTGCCTTTCGTCCCTCAAGGAGGCTGCGTACCTGCTGCAAGGCCGTCGAAATCATCACTGTGATCTCTACCTTGCTGGTATGCACGTTGGACCCAAGGGCCACCTGCATGAAGTACTGAGACACCTGCTGCGTCTCCAGTCTTAGCTTTCCCAAGGTGTCGATGAAGGAGCGCCAGTCCTCATCAGACATGGAGGACACCGGGTCGCAGGTCATGGACTTGTTGTTGAAGAACTGCACCGCCAAAACCATGGAGTCGAATAAAGGTTCGGTGAGGTTGGCGATGTTCGGTGCTAGGCGCAGGGCCGTCTCCTGACTGGACTGGACCGTGTGAGCGTTCAGGATTTCATTCACCAGTGGTCGGAAACTCGAGTAGTAGTAAGTGACCTCGGACATCTGATGGAGCGTGCACATGTTGGTGAGCACCGGTACGCCGGCGAAGGGGACACCTTCAATGATGCCCGTATGTGAGTCTTCAAAGAGTAGCTTCGTCTCTTTCAGCGAGGCCTTGTTCGAGGACAATGAGACGCCCTGGCTGATGAGGAGGGCCTTCAGGCACTTTTGGGGGGTTTTGGGGGTTTGAGGGGTTTTGGGGGCTTTTGGGGGCTT